GGGCCTGTACTGTGTACGTACGTGCACCAGTGACCCGCCTTTGCCCCTTCTCCTGTCAGTAGAAGCAGGTTTGCTTGGAAGCTAAGCCACACGAGCAGGCCAGGAGCTGGACTTGGTTGTCGGAGGCTGTTTGAGTCGTATTATTAGTGGTAGGAGCTTAACCACACGACCACCCGGCTATGACAACCCTTGAACCCTTTCCCGCATAGAAGTAGGGCAATTCAGTCGATCAGCATAATAATCTGCAGACGGAGTTCTCTAGACTAGCCTGTTTTACTGACAGTAATGACGCTAAGGGTCGTAAATGGTAGAACTAGCTTTCCAATCCCGGTAGCTCTAGCATCTTCACAGTGATATGAATCTTGCAAAGAAAGAGGAAAAGCTTAACTGTGGTATACATATATTTTTGTATTACGGAAGCTTGATTTTCAAAACAGAAAAAGGGTCCCGAAATGAAAACTTGCTGCAAAGAGGTTCACACACCATGCTTGCACTTTACTATTGATTGTGGGTCCCCCATACAATCTACCTCAGTGAAGCCACGAAATATATAGTGTTTTCACAATGACCAGATTATTTTACCGCGCTTCTATACGTGAGAATAATGATCGTTGAAAGTTCGCTCTCCTTGACGATACCCTTGAATCTTGTTTAATGGAGATCATACACTTTCCGACAAGGCATTGCATTAGATTCTATATTTTGATTACGTGATCATTGGAATCAACGCACGGGTGATAAGGTGTCATTGGACCTTGTATTCGAGAGAAAATTTACAGCTTGAACTCTATCTTATCGGGTGCCGTCACAGTTCGACAGAGGCGTATCCAGATGGGGCGGGGGCAGCAGCATAGAAACGGTACAACATTTATCACCTTTTTTGTGGGGGGGGGGATTCTTTCATAGTAAAAAAAAAATCAGTTTTGCCCCCGACTCAAGATTTAGATACACCCCTGGTGCCGTTGCTTTTTATTGTATAAGTAGTCATGTGTTAAGATAAATCGGAACTCGACCAATAATGTCACTCATCTTGAAATGAAGTCCCACCAATGGATGTTGACTGAAGGTAGGGACAAAACCAAACTACCGAACGACTTGTCTACGTGAGGCGCAGCCCTCCTTTGCATGACACCTAGAACAGCGCCCTCTGTATTATATTGCAGTCAACTTCTGGACTAAATAATAAGCATTTCAATGAACACGTTGATTGATTATTCCACTGCCAATGCCACCCCCGCCCCTAAACAGAGAGAGTAAAAAGACAGAAAGGTGACCTTTTTCTTCTTCTGCCATAAGTATGTAAGAAACACCAAAATGTAGCCTCAAGCTTTAGGAAGACCAAAGAAAACAGATTAAACAAACATGTAGCGTTCGAAACCTTCCTCTATTTCTAGGGAATTTGTTTTCCCAAATTTGTTTTAAGCACAAAATATGTATTTTTTTGAAACTAAATAGTGCTGCATTTACGAGAAGTTGAATTCCTAAGGATTCTTCAACTCCCTGGACTGGTTATAGACGCAAATTAAAACTTAAATCCAAGATCGGTTGCAGTTATTCATTCAATTCAATCAAACACCCCAAAAGCCACCGCACATTACCATTTGCTTGGAGTTTTATTAACACTTCGCTCAAATATTACAGGCAACCTTCTTATCTGCCCAAAATAGGATTCTGGGAACATACCACACGCCTACAAACGCAGTCCTCTTTATAAAAGTTCAGTTGTGATGAATGATGCAAGCAACGTCGGCACCTGTATCTCTGACAGACACCTGCGTGCATTTAAAGAAGTGTATCTGCGACCATATCTAATCAACTGAGGGACAGTTCAAATTGGATTCCTCCTCGTTGAATGCGTGATTTATCAAATCGGCAGCATATTAAAACAAGGCGTTGGTGTGTTCTGATTCACACACTACGATGTGAGACCAGGCATCGATCATCGTTAGAATGACTCACTTTAGATTCAGTGAAGAAGTACACGTCGCCCTTAAAGGCCTCACTTCCAATTTTCATAAATCGTGAACATGATATTTTGTGGGTTTTCTCCAGCAGAGTCACACTGGGGTTTTACCCTTTAAAACAGGTCGGTAGAGAAACATATGATGGTGACAGTATTTAAGATTATGATTTTCCGCTTGTAAGTACACATCATATTCGCTTCTCTATGTTGCAAACTGGACAATCTGACAAATAAAAATGCCTTTAAACCATACCATTAAGGCACGATAATAAGTACATGTACATGTATATAAGGCATTTACTTATGCATAGTTACTTACAATATTATTTACACTAAGTACGTGTATACTTAGAGGCATATACTTTGACAGGTCATTTTATCCGCATTTCTAAGAAGAAACGTAGGAAATTACTTGAAAATACACGCCGTTCAGTTGAATAAATTCTTTGGGCGTATTAATGAACGTACGAGTTGACCCCGCTATGACCACGGCTCAATATCACGGGGGTCTTTAGCCAGAGAAGACTTCTTAGCAGATTATTTCACAGAGCAAATATGTGTAGAGAACCAGTCCCAAGTCCTATATGTTGCTTTGGCTGGTAGTCTGTGTTTACTTTGCTGGAATAAACCTATAACAATAACTTCACGCTTTGTTTAAATGTGCGCTTTCTTATGGCGTTAAGGTGTTAGACACGACTCAAATAGGAAAGTGCACGTGAAAACAAAGTATGACGTCATTAGGGCTTTATGTCTCTTGGCGCTTCTACTTAGCCTGCTCTTTGGTAAATCAAGGCTGGGTACAGGATAATACGAGATGCGGAATGAAAATTAGAATGTCTCTAAACGCTTGACTTTCAGTGGCAAAATTTCAGTCACTTGACGGCTGACATTTGTGGTGATGAAAGGACGAGGCATTTTCGACACACAAGACATGTATCTTAATCAAGATTTCAAAGGCCTACATTATAGTTATTTTGTAGGAGAGCTGTATAGGACTCGTGTAAAAAGTCTGGAACTTGGGCGACAGGTGCCCGGACAACAGCCCTTAGCATCCGACTCAAATTAAGACGACATAGCATCAATTGAATCGGATGGAGTTTTATATTTCCTGTATCCAGTATGCATGTGCAAAACAAGTATTGGTTAGCAGCAATTTTGGCGATAGTGGGTGAACAATGTCATGCATGTTCCAGCAAAAGTTAAGCGAGACCAGCTCACTGAAACTTGTACGTAACACCATGTTCACGGACTATGTTTGGCTAGAAGTACTATTCATAAGAGCTTGGCGACAATTACTGCTAAAAGTTATCTAACCATGGTGACTGTCAATCGCAGTTCCATTTAACTGGGCCATAGGTTGCATAACACCACAGGCGAACCCAGGTCTTGGGTCTGGGCCAACATGTGATTCCTTTTCTGAAGACCCTTCTTCAAAAAGCGTACTCTAACCCAATGAAAGGTGGTAGTATACCGTTTCTGAAATACCCGTGAGTTCAATAAAACAACACGAGCAACATGTCTCCATGGGGATACTCCACTGCACAACATATAGGGAAATGCTGAAGAAAACTGTAACAAAGGAATTATTTCAAGACCAAACCATAATAAACATCGTAATGTAGGCAAAATTCTTTATCAGAAAAAGAAAGATGAGGTTAGCCACAACTAACTCTACGATGAGTCCATACACGGCACTAAAGTGAATATAAATGCGATTTCCTGACGTCAGATCGAATGTTGAACTTTTAAGTGCTCAAGCGAATTTTGCTGCAAATTTTTGACGTCAAAATCGCTTTGTGTTCTCGTGGATTATGAACTCGCCTTCAAAAAGTGAATTCTGAAACAACGGTTGCTTTTTGTAACACATCAACCCAATCTATACATTGATTGAGGTAACTACATGTATACCAATGACGTCATCTGCTAATAAAGGAGCCACCAAAATACGTTGGCCTGGTAATCACATAATAAACCTGTAATTTGAACATGTGGTAGAAACTAACTTATACACATTGATAGCGATATCCATTATTATCAATATTTCCATTATAAGGTCTCTTTAATATAGGCCTACCTTTAATAGTAAATTAAAATATTTAAGTAAATATCTAAAAATAGCTATCATGAAGGAAGATTTTATAAATCTGTAGCCATTCCGACTTCGTATCAAAAAGAGGAAAAGTTTTGGTTTGCACCAAATATACGAAATTCAGTATACATATAGTTTTGAGTAAAGCATCCAAGTATCAGTTATGTAAAGATTGCTACTTACGCCACATCAGTATCCGACTTCGTAACGGTCCGGAGAAAAGCAAGCAGTTTACCCTTAAGTGGGGACATGGGATTTCTTAGGCTGTCCCACGAACAAACCAGCAGCGATATATATACTGGACTGTAGAATGTGTCTTAACAATGCAATCTCTCTTATCAGTTGCATATCACTTCTCAACACAACAAAAAATAACCACGTTATGGACGGACAGATAAATGTTTTCATCCTCTTTCAAAGCTAGAAACCATCCCCTACGCAAATATGATGTAATGAATATTGTACAATTTTGTTAAACACATTAATAAAATCCATACATTAAGTAAGCAGTTTTGACAAAGTCTGTGTACTTTTTCACAAACTGCGCTCACAATTTTTGTAGCCTGCTTCCGCTATCCGTTTCGTGCAAAAACACCTCTCAACGAAGACGAATGTTGATCATGAAGTCAGAATGGATACGGATAAGTTTTCAACAATTATTCAAGTGCATGATAGATACGGAACAACCTCAAGGGAAATCGCCATGCCTTTATAAAGGCCTCTGTCTTGTCCGTGTAAGATGTACGTACGTACCCATCTCATCAGGTACTTGGTCAAGCGCGCTTACCACACTAGCCTGCCGAGCGCTACACCACCATTCCCTGAGATCTGTAGTCTTGGCCCAAGACGTCAGTGATCGATAGTTGTTTTATTTCTGTTTGAAGAGCGCCCTTGCAAAACTAGTTTTTACTTACTCACTAGTGCGAGCTGACGCACAGTCTAATTATGAGTCGTTGGGGGCGCACTATGCACGGTGTCCGCCATCAAGCACTAACGTCTTGAAACCACGGCTATGAGATCTGTAGCTGCCTGCTGTTTGTAAGGTTGGCACAAACAAGACCAATCTCTCGCTGTGATTCATCATGCAGCGAGTAGGTAGACAGCTATAGTCAAAACTGCACCATTACAACCATCATGAGTATAAGACTCTGGATTACAGAAAACTAATTTTTACAATAGTAAAATCATTTGAAATCGTAAATATACTTATAAAATATAATACACGTGAGTTGATTTTATGAACTGTCTTCAAAACTGTTTTTATATATCCCATATACAAAGGCCAGTTTTCGAATAAGAAATAACCCGTTTGCATAGCTTATTTACATTACATATGCCAAAAAATTCCACCTTTAAAAAGATTAACAAAATCAGCAATACTCGTTGATGGTTTCTTTCTCCTTTCAAATACACTTTCTCTTTGCATGTCTCATAACAGAGTAAACAAAGTACTTCTGTATGTTAGATTTCGACACTAATTTATCTCTGTTGACATAACTTGAGGAATGTTTATTTTTAAGAAGAGGCAACTGTGTACCATTCAACAAATTTTGAACAATGCTCACACGAGACCCGTTCATCTGAACAATCACCTGGGATTTTAACTCTTTTGACTGAATTCTCTACATTCCACTTTGTGAAACATCTGAGTATGATTCACTCTTGAAAAATAGCTGGCATCAATGTATTTCTCATGTCTGTAAACTCAGACAAAGTATCAAGACATACTTTTACCCACATGTTCAAATGACGAATTGTATCGAGAAAAATGTCTCGTACATGTCTTCAGGCACTGATGTACTGATAAAGTTAGACTGAGGGAGAAAAGAGAGCTAACTTTGCTTGGCTATGTACCATCACCAGAATAGCCTAAATTATTTCTTAACAGAACGTTGCCGTTTTCGTGGTCTCGCCTCGAGTCGGACTTCCCCATATCAATGACTATTCCCTCCTGCATATCACTCCACGAGAGGCTACGCCTCAGGACGCCGCTCTGCGATGACGTAATAATAATTGAGTTCCCAGTCTTCTTTATGCTAGTCTTCACGTTAGACTCAACTGAGCTCGTATTCGTCTGCGTGCTGGCGTCTTTTAGACACCTTCCAAACTCGTCAATGGAGATAGTAAACGTCTCTCCAGACTCACTATCGCATCTACCGTACTTTGCTGTCCGTAGGTTAACCGTCACCCGGTTCTCTTTGTCTTGTTTCTCTTTTTCGAAGCTGGCATTTCGACGTTTGCTGAGCACCCTCCTTGCCACGCCCCTCGTTACTGATTGCATGCGCGATGCATTCTTCCTTTGGTAATGCTGGGTCACCTTGAAAGTCAGCGTCAGTACAGCTAAACCTAAGATCAGATACAGCACCAGACCAATTTTATACAGTGTCCGCGTCACTGCATGAAGGTTGGTTCCGTTGCCTGCAACGTAATCTCCAAACCCTATGGTGCTGAGGGATATAAAAGTATAATAGTGTGCCACGCCCCACGACCATCCCTCCACAAAGTGGATGACGGTAGAGGGCAGCAGAATGATTACAAGATATAAGAGCAGTGCAAGGCTGGTGTACACAGCGACCTTCTGGGCAGTGGCGAACTTTAGGAAGGCCACCGTCTTATCGAACTTGTCGGTGAAACTCTTCCAATGACGCTCTGAGCACTGACCGAATACAGCTAGAAACCAGCCCGTCAGGGGTATGCCGAAGAAAGCAAAGACTACGCAGAATGCCATCCCTTCGCTGGTACGCGGCGACATGTTGCCATAACCTGTAACGAAAGGAAAACAGAATGAGGCACAACAATGTCTTAATGCAAACCAGTACAATTTCACGAAGCCATCTCATGAAAGAGATTCCTACTCCTGTACGTTTGCAGTATACACTACTTGAATGTAAAAATGGATAAAGTAAGGCCACACTGGCGAGAAACTTAGAATATGATGGTAAAGGGAAACAGGGGTGAACTTTTTCAATGAACATCATTGCCACACTCTCAGACGCCCGCTTTTTCTTTACCAGTATCAATATTCCTAAAGTGCTCAATGAGACAGACTCTTTCAAAGATACGTTATTTTAGGCCTACAATTTCCCAAGATCACAAACACCAAATGAAACGTTTATTCCCTTCCCATTATACAAGTCTACATGGTTTCAGGCTCTGTTGATGATTATTTCCGATGTCCCTCCCGTGTTACATACGACAGCAAATGAGCTGTAAATAGACCTTTTTGCAAGTCACAACATCATTTCCCAGAGGGTATTATTTCACTACTGCAAATTCAAAGCCCGGCAGGTGTAAGGTATAGTAAAAGAAACAACAACCACGTAGTGGCTCGACATTTGCATTTTTTTTTACAGAGCCTGGTGAAAAATTTCACCTTTCTTAAAATACACTATTGAGATCGTAGGGCGACTGAAAGATAATGAATAAAGCAAAGTCGCTCGTTTGACATTTACGATTTTCTTGCATAACACCTTGTGTTTCTATATAGAGGGCTACACAATCAAGAGTTGTCATCAGAGATCGATCATAAAAATGAGGAATATGAAGACAAGTGTACTGTAGGGGACCTTCGTAATGGCAAAAACCAATACAGCAGCTCTAGCTGATTTCACTGGAATATCTGGAATAATGGTAGGTATTTTCGGAACACTGTACATTTTTGTAGCCAAGAACCTATTCTAACCCCAAATCCAAAACTAATGCGGATTTTGAAGAATTTCAAGACTTCCTACTAAAATGCATGCAGTACATGTCTCTCAAAAAAGAGAAACAATTTAAAGAACCACACATGCCATCCTGATTGCATAATTACAGACATACATCAATATCGTGAACAGCGACCTCTTTATAGAGTCATATGGCGTCATTCCCCCTCCCTCGCTTTTCAATTTCCATGGTCGGGAAACTCATACCCCCACCTTTCCCCACCCCACCCCCCAATTATCAGCACAAATTTACGTCACTGACTGTGATCTCTATACGACAGTTATCCATGTACCATTGTTAGCTTTTCTGAAAAATTGCCTCTCAAACTGTTTCTGTCGTTACCATACAGGCCTCTTTATTAAAGGAGGGTAGCACGCTCGGATTCGTGTAGTAAATCCATGAGCCCATGTCGCAGGTGTTACGGAGACAAAAACCTCAAAACAACAAACCAAACTATAGGACTACAAACTCTCACAAAGCAATTAAGATAAAACAAAACGAACAAAAGTAATAAAATGGAGCGAAATGCTACCGTACACTAATCATCGAAATACAGACTAGATGTTATGAAGTTAAAACGCCAACTTTTGAACTGCATCAGTTGTTATTTTTTGACCAATATAGTCCTTGTCGCAACTTGAAAAACAAGCCACAGACAGAGGAACAACAACAAGGCACAGCTGACCAAGTCTGAACAGCTGAACATACACTGAAGCTGCATCCGAATCACTTGGCTGCGGCTTGAAATCACACACGACTCAATGAGAACCGGCTACAGCCACTACCATAGTAGTAGTCTAGCCGCAACCAAGTAATTCGGACACGTCCTAACATTCAGATTCAAGAAGAATCAATGGATACGTCGAATCAACAGTACATGTATCTCTCTCCATCGACTACTTCTAAAAAGCACTGGGCGATGGCCAAAGCAATAACATGAAAAGGTTACCTATCTTTTCCTGTCGAAAATTTATGTAAAAGGGTGACCTCCCTTTTTCCCCACAACGAAAGGTATTCAAAAGTAAGCCCAATTCCCAATGTCTGTTTCCCCCAAATTACCAAGTTTTCCCTCCCCAGGGAAAATATCTCTAAAATGTACGCAGCTGGGGACTGCTTTTAATTCTGCCTGGTTCAAGAATTGAACAGATACACATGTAACTACAAATTCCAATGCGATGCCACGTAAAAGACCATAAGTGACAATTCGACATGACAGAAATCTACAAAGACAAAAATGTAAATTGTAAACTGTGGGTATACCGAAGGTTACAGGCTCCAATCCAGTATATTTCTTTGTTCAAGCATGCGTTTCACCAATTTGCGGGTCGGGACCGACTCATTTTCTCTGAATGGTTTGCTTACTGGAATGGAAGAAAACGACGGGGTTTGCAACATTTCCCTTCCTTTGTTTCCCAGGCTATCCCGATTTGGGGGGGGGGTCTTGCCATGTGTCAGCGAAGCCTTTTTGATTAAAAGCTGTCATGACTCTGTTTTATCGTAAACATACTTGTCTTCAACAACAAAATAGACGGTATGCTCAATCTCGTTTAATTTCAGTGTATATACATGTAGACGTGTCCGCCAAAAAGAATAACCAGCCGTTACAAGCCACTAACCTGTTGGCGAGGCACGTGATACGCGCGTGTTACATTCCTCTCCGACCAATGTGTCGTGACCACAGACATGACCACCTCCTTCGCGCGTATAACTGTGATTTTGAAAAGTAGTCGGCAAATAGTGGGCTAAACGATGGATGTCAGCGCGTTCAGTGCTGCACTTAGATCGCAAGTATACATGTATGTTTAGGCCTACATGTGCTCTAAAAATACGTTCCCTTTTTACTTTTTTGGTACTGCTATCTCTTATTTTCAAACGTCGCATCTACATTGTTTTGAATCTGCACAGGCCAGAGAAAGTAATCAGGGGATTTTTTTCACAATCGAAAACAATTTCATAGAATTTTATGGCTGGAATTCTTCCACTGTGCTCAAATTCCCTATACCAAGACTGAATTTGTCTATGCTTTTGGATTTAGTCGGGTGCCGTCTCGGCTACGGTACCTCGCAGTTGTTTTGAATGGGAACTGCCTGTCTATACTGGCCAATGCGCGCCCATGCGTACGCTCAAGTTAAGACATGCGCATGAGTTTAATGACCCCACAGGAGGCACCGTTCCAAGTTCCAAAATGACGCACTGCTCGAGTTCCTTAGGCTACGTCAGATGACGCTTACTGCGCAGGATGCAGGATGCAGGAAAGCGTCATCCGATGTACAGCGTAAGGAACTGGAGCAGCGCGTCATTGTCGAACCTGGAACGGTGCCTCCAGGGGGAATGAACGTGGATTTGTCTGTGTTCATTCAGAACTGAATCTGCTTGCCCTAAAGAAGGTACTCAGTTACCGAAAGTTCGGCAATCATATATTTCAGAGCACTGATTTGATATTATATTCTTGTCGATATTCTGATCACGGTGCTACGCAGCCCTTCCATATTTCACAAATTTAACCTTCTTTGGGCAGGAGGTTTCTACCGAGGCCAAAGACAGGAAAGGGTGTTGGTCGAAAACACGCAATTTGCTGGCTCATTTCTGGGTAATGAGATTGCCAAAGCGAGCGGGAATAACTGATGACGGCCTGCCGACACCTGCGTCAAAAAACAGCTAAGCTTCGTTATTTGGAATGCCAAGTACGCCTACACCTAGAAATTAATAAACTAATGAAAACACTTATTACGTGCGTGTAAGCTTGTTATTCGGCGTAAATGGGATGCAGATTATGACGCTTTTAACTCAGATTACAACAGACAGTAACTCTCGGCTGCAAATTGGTCTCCACGGTTGCAACTCTCCCGTCCGTCATTGTCCGCAACATCTCGTACAATTATTTTCTTTCTATTGGTAAATGCACGACAAACGCTACTGACAACCAGCAATGCAACCGTGTCCAAGTGTTTGTTCCCAAATGGTCGACTGCATAGTAATAGTGTACCATCCATCGTTTGGGTGACTTTTGTCAAGAAAGGTAATCACTTGTAGTCAGTGTTTGAACTTGCCTCTTTCAGGGTTAAGATTCACTTAACGCACCGGTACAGCCTGCTCTTTCTTAAGGTGGTTAGGTGCAAAACATAACAAGGAAACTTGTGAATATGGTCACGAGATCCAGAAATCTCGTGCGATCACGTTCCCGAAATACATGTGTATTCGCGGAGCTATAAAGTCATCAGATTAGTTATTCAGCGCCCATCTTAATGGTTTTGAAAATGCAAATGATATGCACAATGAAAAACGGTCCTTTTACCTTTACGAATAATGCGTTTCCTTCCTGAATCCAGGTTTTCTCAACAGGAAAACAACAAAGTTCACCACGTTGGAAAAGTGTATTACCTACATATCAGGAATGGTTTAGCTTAAAAAAATTACTTCGAAATATCTTGAGCATCTGTCTTCCTAGAATGGATAACAGACCATGGCAAACGAGCCAAAAGTCCAACTGAGACCGGAAAAGTGATTTCAAGTTCCAGTTCATCATCTAAGAATTGGCGTCTAAGGGCCAACTGAACGAGGACAGGAGATCGGCAACCATAGCCCCCAAATAATTGAAACAGGTGTCAACACATTTGACATAATTTCATAGTTGAATTTTTATCAAGCTGATAAAAGAAAAGCCAATGTTAACCAAAAGAAGAGTGGGCTGGTTCCCCACACAGTGGCATTAATTGTAAGCAGATTTAATCAGAGGATCCAGTCTAAGACGAAACAGAATAGAAAGAAAAATAAAAACACGCAATGCTACGCCAAATATAAAGGCACCTCAGCGGGTCGCCCATTACCCGGTTTTGACATTTAAACAATTATGGGCCTGTGTGTCACCATGACAACAGCGGGAGGAAGACCACGAACGTAGAAGCAATGCACCGAAACATGACCGCCTTTACCCATTACTTGTCGTTTGTAATCACGTCCGACGGTGTAAATGTTTTCCTTTTTTTTTTAGAAACAAACGTATAGGTAATGTGATTTTCACATGAATAAAGAGAGGTATGCGTGAAAGTATTAAAACC